GTCACGTGTTGTTTTTTGTTTGACGAATTATGAGAAACACTCACAGTCAAAGGTTAAACAGTTATGGACAAAATTAGATTGTTATTTGTGTCTAGATGTTATTTCACCGATACCTGAAAGAGATTGTCATTACTAATATAATAGCTTTGAAAACAGTATTGGACCTAAGAATCTCCAAGTAAATTCTTCATCCAACTAATGAGTACAATTTTGCCCATCATTGTGTACTTTTAACTTAATGGAATAATTAATACTGAAAATGTTACTTCTCAAAAAATAGTGAACCTTTATAATAAATGCAGGCACAACACTTAAACAATAAAACTTCTAAATGGTAGTATACTTATTTTAAATATAATTAAGTTAATACAAACTTTGTTGCAAAATATTTATTAACTTGAATTTTAAATTTGATATTATTATAAAATATGTACTACCAAATTTTCTTTTTCTGACTGAAATATTGTATTTTTCTCAATTAATTATAGTAAATGTTTTCAACGGTGGCATAATAATCACATCGGTGATGGCATACTAAAATATCAAACACACATAACATAAAAAATTATTTTCACAATACAAGACACTAAATATTTTGTTTAGGGTAAGTTGCCTTTTGAGAATGGGGGAGGGAGAGAGAGAGAGAGAAAAAGAAAATATATTATACAGTAAAAACATTTTTCACCTTAAATATCTATCCAAGCTCTGTAAATGTGTATGGTCTTATATGCAAAAATCAACTCGTTAAATAAGATGCTTTTCACGTGTTTATACAAAAATATAATTTGGTAACTTACTCTATCTGTGAAAATACATAACAAAGATTATAAAGAAGTTTCAGTACAACAGAAAGCAAGGCAGTATTGAAAAATAACCAGAACAGTACTTTGAAAGGTATTTCTGAAGCAAAAACTCTTCATTAACCGGTAGTATATTTTATCCACTAAGAATTTTACTGAAGTATATGTGTAAAAACATTTCTTAATAAACAACTTTAGCTAGAATTAATTTAATATTTCCACAGACCCAAAGTAAGAAAAACATGACTGTATCAGCTGCAAATGGTACCAGAAAATAAAATAAAAACAGTCACACTCATTAAATGATTTTTATAGAAAAGTTTTAACAAGAAAAACATCAAAATATTCTCAAACTATAATGAATAATCACATACTTTCTTCAGAAAATATTATCTTAAATCTATTTTGAAATATGATCAAAAAACTGAAACTTTAATGTATAAACTTTTTAAAATGACACTGGCAGTTCACCATTATCAGGAAGACTAAGGAACATTTAGTTATCACGCTAAGGTAAATTTCAATTGAAGTATTTTGTAAAGTGTTTACATGATTAAATCATTACAGCTTATACTCTAAAAAATATAATATTTCTTATGTGGATGATATCTTGACAAGAACTAAGTGATGATAAAAATGTAAAAAATTTAGTAAAAAAAAGAAAAAAAGAGAGAGAGACACCCAGCTTCAAGCCAATAAACTGTACATATTGGTTACAATATATTTCAAAATAATTTTGAAGTGTGAATTTTCTTCTATTCGTGATTTTTCATGAGCATATCTAAATCAATTTGCGAATGTTTTCAGTATTTACCTGTTTTTCTGAACTAGCATAGAAATAAAAAATATGTTTGAAAAAAAACTTTAATATTCAAAAGTACTAGATATGAGTGTAAGCTTTGAAGATCGGTGACTTCCTAGAATTTGCTGTCACCAGTAAAGATGACTTACACAAATTTTAACACAACATAAGTCAATAAAATCTTATTATGCATTATAAGTATATTCATCTTGAACACATTGGCACACATAACAGGTCTTCATAAAGATACATCAAACAGCAACTACAGATAAAAAAATGAAACGTTCCATTCACTGTTGCTTTTAATTAGGGTAGATCTATGTACACTGAAATAATATAAATAACAACAATAAAAGTTACACCAAAACCAATGGAAATTATGTATTTAAATATTTTATTACATTTTCAAACAGGTTAAATTCTTTACTCATGTGGTGTCTAAAAATTAAATTGTGTAAATTATAATTTTTATTAACTTATAGTGAGCTAAGTGCTAACATGACCCACAAATGATCCCCAAGATATCTATATGTTTAGACTTTTATAACTGCATATACAGAGCCATTTCAATACATACTAACCTGTGGTATCAAACTAGAATGGGAATTTTTGTTTCAATGACTAGAAAAACTTCTTCAAACTAACTCATGTCTTATTTCAAGAACTGGTGATTAATAAGAAAGGCCTACAAGGTATCAACCTGGGTTTACTGTAACAATTTACCAGTAACAAACTACATAAGTTAGCAATTAGGTGGTTACTAACCTAGTAAACTAAGTACTAGCCTATATTCACAATAATTTGAGTTTGATTCCATTTAGGCCTAAATTATAGCTCATAATTCTTTGAAATAAAAACATGTATAAATAAATATATCACACAGAAACACGCATACATACACATGCTGGTAAATATGTATATAAATACACATAATCCTACAATATGTTTAATAACATAGTGTTTATATACCATGGCCTACAGTTTTTCATTATAACCGATATATTAAAAAGAATTTGTATTTATTCAAAAAGGAAATTTTTTGTAAGTAAGATTAGAAACTTTATGTATATATATTTCAACTCCTATCCTTAGCAATTCAGCTTCCAAACCTTAATACACTGGGGGTAGACACAAAAACACACAGATATAACCTCTGAATTAACATACTTTAATATAGGTTAATTTAAATAAAAGACAAAAACAAATTATATCTTAAAATGATGTTCAGATCATTCCTGCAGAATAACTGAAGTCATTATAGCTTTCAGTGACTATGTATTCCTGTATGTAAAAATTACAAGTCTTGTTATATTGGCCAGAAAAGCTATAATTCCATTAAATAAAGAAAATTTGTATTGATACTACAGCAATTCACCACTGTCTCCTTCATCATCTGAAAAGTTCCTGTTAATATTGAAGCTTCTGGCAATTTTAAAGTCTGCCAGAGCTTGATTACAGTTATTGAGATGTCCGTCAACACTTCCATCAGAAATATTCTGTTGAGAAGTTATCATAGTATCCCCATTTTCTCCAATCTTCCGTTCAGATTTGTGTAAACGATTTGTGCGAACTTTGGGTCGACTGGTGATATTTCCCTGGCGAGAAGATTTAGTTGGAAGCTTTTTCATGACTGTTAACAGTTTATCAACAACAGGAACATACGAGGCAACATCTTCCGAATGGGCACAACGCTGAGACAACGTTTCGATTTGTTTGTCTTTTTCTCTACACAATTGTTCAAGTTGCTTGATTTTTCCTTCACAAACTTCAAGTTTCTTTAATAACTCCTGAATTTCAATATCTTTAAGTTCTGAATTCTCCTTAACTTTAGCTTGCATAAATTCGTCCTTTTTAATCAGAGACTCAGCTTGTTCCTTTACAGTGTTCTCTAACTCAGTAACTTTCGTGTGTAGTAGCTGCAAGTGATCATTAGCTTCTTTGATACTCGTACGAGTTGGACTTGGACTTACTGGAGGTCGAGCTGCAAACATTTCGGAAACTTCTTTTTGTCAGATAATATGATACGATTATGATAAAAAAATTGATTTAGGCTACTATATAATCTTAGTTAGTCGTTTACTCTTCAAATTCAATAATGTCTTCTCAAATCATAAGACTATCTCCGGCCTAGTGACAGTCTATGTCTTGTCAAACTGTACACAGCGCCGTCTTTCGTCCTTAATGGTGTGTTGATTCATACATGTTTAAAATCTTTATTAAATAACTATTCAGACAAATCAGGAAAACAATGACACAAAATAATTTACAACATAATAGCACTTCTTGGAATATGAAAATTTCGGCTTTTGCGAGTCCTTAAAGTGTGTTTTTAATGTTTTGGGGCACTGAAGCTGATTTGTGTATTCCGCACAAAATACACATAAGATATCTTAAAAAGATATATACATAACAAATAACTGGGATAGTAAAAAAAGCAACGTATAACAAGTTGATCAAAGGATTATATTGACTAACTTCAAAAGGAATTATGAACTCAATTAGCATTGAATTAATCAGGCAAGCGAGAAACTTATGAATGATAATCAGAAATCAGTAACTTGGAATAAAATACATTGCATGATGAAAAATCCTACAAAAACGGAGATATATGTCAGATAATAGTCTAAAAGTTATAAAGTTGTGCTTAAAACTATTATAGTTCAAATCTAAAGAAATATGTATCATCGTAGTTTTGCCATACAAGGTTCACCCAATATTTAAATTAATATATAAGCTATTTGTATATTTTATTTCAACACAATCCTATTTTTTTTTTCCATGAGAAAACAATACATAAAGCTATTAGTACAAGATGGGTAATTAATATTTCAGTCTGGAAAAACTTACATTATGCTACTATTAGTTACTATATTTATAACTAACCTTCTAACCTTTCTTGACGTATTCAAAAAGGAATTAGTAGATATGAATGAAAACATCTCCCAAATTATGTCATCAAATAACTGTAAGAAGTACTAACTCCCATTTTTAACAGTACGTACGAATCCGATTTTTCAGTCGATGTTATGTATAAAACATTGAATTACTATCTAGTCAGAAATATTTGACTGCCATTTTTGTTCAAATTACAATGCGCATAATGTGTCCTTGTTAATGTTACGTGTATGGGAGGTTTTGATGTTTGGCAATTCCAGCCAACATTTTCTGGAATTACAAATGTGTTCAAATAATAGCCAGGTTCTAGGATTCTGCAACTGGAAATACGACAGCTCTAAAATGAAACAATATAATAATGATTTCTTTTCTTTTTTTTGCACAGACAAAGAAAGATATATCAGAAAGTTCGAGATGATGTGGCTGACAGTACACATAACTCTACGTTTAAAACAACTCTAAACATAACTCCAAGATACTTTTAAGAAAATCAGACGAAATGGTTTTATTGTGAAATCTGTTTATTTTACTCGTCATAACTACTTATTGCTACATAATTCTTGTAATAAGTAATGTTGTCTGAAGTACAAGTTTATCAAATCAATTTTAGTTGATGGCTACTGTTTAAAAGATAATACACTGGTCGTTGCTTCTCCATGCGACTTTACAAGGTTCTTCCTTACAATCCTGGAGTGGATTTAGGTTTACTGTCAATGTTAAAAGCTGCCAATACATATATATACATAAAAGAATTAGTACAATCTCTTCAGTCATTATTAGGATCTTTTCTAGTCTTAGAAATCAAATTTAGTTTGTTTTCTTTTGTAGAAGGTCTGTATACTATAACATATATTTTAAATAACTTGTTTTAAGTCTTTATCTTGAAAATTTCTTGTTCCAAAGAAGTGTGAACTTTTCATAAGAAACACGTTTATAATGGAACTGTTGATATATTTGTAAATTGATACTTGTTAGCGAATCAATGATATAAAAAAATTAAGAAATAACACAAAAAAGCAAATAACAAAAAATATCACAAACATTTATACACCAGTCATGTCACTTCACACTAGATAATAAATCTTATATATGATAGCTGACGACTGCAATTATGATACGACCATGTCTAACGGAAATGTTTACGCATTAGGCTTTTAATTTTTCAATTACTAAAGAATGTTTAAGACCATTCAAACTTCCAGAAGATCTACCACAGATGTTTCCTTTGCCTCTCTGTTTAATAAATTGTAACATGAAATATGATATTTAATTAAACATATACTTTGAGATTGAACTACTTAGCTATATTAGTTCTTATCCCTCTAGTGAGGATTATAGCGAATAATATTATCTACTTGAGCTCGAACTGATATTAAGTCGGAAATCAAGGACCGTATGAAATAAAAAATGGAAAGTAGTAGTGGCTACGTATTTGTTATGATTTTTCATTTCTTTATTATGAATATATTTCTTATCATAAGAATTATTCTGTATTGTTAGCTTAGTATACGGTTTTAACATTAACCTAAATCTCCTAAGCTGACCGAACCTCATATTATTGGAATCATGATCGATAATATCGATAACAGCGATGACATCCAACTTATAAATCAATACATTTTAATCGCTATATATATATTTTTATTCTTTACATTGCATGTTCCATATCAAATTAGCTACATTATTTACTAGGTGAATTTTTAGTTCTGATTTGTGTAGGTAGTTTATTTTTATCAGAAGTTAGTGTAATAGCCATTGAAAATTGTAGGCACAACACGTGCGCATATACACTTTCAACTAGGAATTCCATTAATATATTCTCTCACCTCAATTGAATCGTCGTACTCAATATTTTCTGAAGGTAAGTCATTGCCATTTATAGTCAACGTAGTTGCTTTCTTAGAACGATAAACTTTGATAGACGATAATAACAGCTTATCTTGGAACATAGAATCTTTGGGATCCAATTTGATTAGTAAGTGGCACTATTCAAATATATGGAAAATATATATCTTATGTCATTTATCACTTGGTGGAACAAGGATACACATACGTAAATACAAGAATAAATTACCCAATTTGTGTTGGAGTGTTGGGATATTATCTACTGCGCACCTTTAATGTTTTAATGCAAAATAGTTTTTAGTGACTATTTTTTAGCATTTGAATCAAATATGTGATATTTTAAGCGTTTAATTATATCCACAAATTTAAAAATTGCTATTGAAAAGCGGGATTGTTTAGCAGTTAGTGTTACATTTTCTCAATAAATGACACTGTAATCCGAATTTAATATTCATTTCGAATGACAACTCACAAGTATTCTTTGGGAAATATACTGAAAATCAACTGATGCTTAGATTTGAAGAAAACTTAGAATCAAATAATAACAAGGTTACCAATACATGTAGTTTTAACTTACGGCTATAATATTTATCTAAAATATAAAGGTAGTCGTTCTTCACTTTTTATCTTTACGTATTTTCAATAACAATAATCTGCTACTATGTTACTAACATTAGAAAGAGGAATAATAGAGAGTTTTTCTTGAGAATGATCCAAAAAGCAAACGAAATTATACAAAATAACTATTATTTATGATTAGTATATCCTTTATGACACTAAAAATCTGGTTTCGATACCCGTGGTGGGCACAATACCGATATCTTTGGATTTAACAACATGCAAACGAATATTGTATCCCAGTGTTGTTCAAATTCTAGTCAGTATGCCCACATATTGAACAATTAAATACTTACCTGATTTAAATAGAACTGAAGATAGACATATATATTTTGTTGAATGTTATCTAGAATTGAAAAATAAACATTTAGTTAGAAAAAAAAGGGTCTAATTAACAAATAGCAACATTTTTAACTTGTTTATATATAATGTTATTTAGAATAAATTTTCAGAGCTTTACAAATATCACTTCCATATATTTCAGCTTGTTTTCAATGTCGTAAATAAAATTGTAAATTGAATAATGTGATAGAATTTATATATGCATTTTATTCGAAAGTTAATAAAATATAGACATTTTTTAAATGATTGCTAATCATGCTTTTATAATTCAATACAATTAAAAATAAATAAAATAAAAATTAGTACATAAATTTTAAACAAAATAATAATTTTTATAGTTAATAGCTAACCTTTGCCAACACCATCGTCCCAAAAGAGGTCGCCCCTTGCAATTCCGACCTTGTCAGGATACACTAAAAGGTGCATCGGTTTTTGGCGACTTGAAAAAAGGAAAATAAGTTCATTGCACATAATATCTATTGTAATTGAAAAGAGACTAAGATATTACTTCATTGTATTTCGAGACTCGCATACATTTAGCTAATATCTGAATGAAAAGTACATTTCTAAAGTAGTTGGTAAATTTTCAAATTTATGAACTGATATTTGAGATAAGTATTTATTTGTACCGAGTCTTTCTGTACTAATTACGTTATTTTCTTTTAAAACCTAATACTTAAAACACCTGTCGAACCAGTATCACAAAGAAGAGACAACAGTAAATATTATTCAGTACTTAAAAATAAATACTCTAACTGTTGAACAGATTTAAGTAATATATAACCTGAGGAAAAATTTAAATTTATTGAGGAGGGAAGGTATTTAATAAAGTAAAGTAAAAAAATTAAAGACTGCAACTTTTTCTGACGGTAGATAATAATAAAACACACTTGGTTCTATGCAAGTTCTACTCATTAGATTTTGAAGAAAACTTAGAATCAAACAATAACAAGGTTACCACTACCTGTAGTCTTAATTTAAGATTATAATATTTCTTTTAAATAAATAGATTTTTGGGAAGATAGCTAATCACGTTTTTTATGGTTCAATACAATAAGCACGTAAATTTTAAACAAGATAATAATTTTTGTAGTTAATAGTTAACCTTTGCCGACACCACCGTCCCCAAATAGATCAACCGTTTTTATCTGATCAGCATACCCTAGCATCGTTTAACTTTATAAAGAATTAGTAGATTGTTTGAAATATGCTTAGTGAAACTTCTATCGTATTCAAGTATACTAAAAATTCACACAATTAAGTCTTTTTATTTATTTAAGTTCAACTTTAAAGACAAGTTTATTACGGGATTTAAAATCTGTCACCGTGTCAGAATTTTTTGTTTCATTATTATTGTAATTTTATCTCAAAACGAAACTTACAACAAAAGTTTCTACTTGGAGCCACTTAAAATTCATTTCTATATCTTGCATAATCAAAAGTTTACACCTTTGTGTTATTACCTTAGGAATGTATTCTGGGCGTAATCTTGAGTGGGAAGAATATAACCTGCTCGAACATGCAAAGGGGGCATTTCTAAATCATCAATTATTATTTCACCGGATTTGTCTATTTTCCCCTATGAATAAAGAAAAGGACATTTGATGAATATTTTAAGAAATGTTAAAATTTTCAATGACATCGCAGTTTATGCAAATGCTTGTCAAAATTACATCATATTATCTGAGATGATACAATGAAAAACGTAAAATGTGCCAGTCGTTAAATAGTACAATAGATTTGTAAGTAGTCACATAAAACGTAACACTAAAAAAATTAATTGTCGAAACGTATATATTTGTACACTTTTACTTGAAATATTTTTCTTGACAAACTCTGTCATCCTAAAACCTTTTTTACCTTTTATTTAAATAGTTAAGCATCTCCGTTATGCTAGGAACGTTTTACTTACAGTATAATAATTAAACCACTGGGAATCCATTGGTAAGTATGCTTTCACGGACCTTTGGTACTTGAAATGAAAACAGACAAACAATTAAGACAAATCTTAATCTGTATTAAGTTGTTTTACGTTACAAATGGTTCATTTTGGTATGTATACAACTTAAAAACTATCTTTGTATTATGTTCTATCTTTCAACATTATCTGGACTACTAAAGGCTTGAATAACAATTTCTAGATAAATGAAATGGTGAATTGTTAGCCTACCTCTTCTAGAACCGGAGAAATTAGAAGAGCAGGACCCCACATGAACTGTCTGTCAATATCATATGTTAATTTATCCTTAGGAAATCTAAAAACAAAAATAAAACTTAAAACATTTTATTTGTTTGTTTGCTGTTAAATGCAAACCTACACAATGGGCTATCTTTAATTGTCCATCATGGATATGAATATCCGGTTTTTAACGCTACAAGTCTTCAGAATTGCCACTGTGTCACTAGGGTGCTTAGAATATCTTATAGAACGAAATAATATATTATTATAATCTTTCTTTAGATTTAAAAAGATACATTAAAATATTTATTGACACGAAAAAACACACTGATATATTTAATTACAGAAAAAAACAAAATAAACTGTTCTTTGTAAAAATAAAATAAAAATAAAAAATTAATCAAAATATTTTATAAGACAAAATATGACGTCAAACCATTTATTGTAGAAAGCAAACCAAATATCTTTTACAGGACGAAATATAATATTAAACTATTGATTGTATATAAAAAAGTTATTAAAACGGGACGAAAAAACACATTAGAATAAAATATTAATTAACACATATATATTTTGATGTTTCATAACATGTTTATAAACTGCTGAAAAGTCGGTGTTACTTATTCTTTACAGTTGAACATAGATGGAAAAGCATATAAACAAAAGTTCTGTTAAACTAAACAGAAAGAAATGGAAACATGGTGGTAAAATATCATTGTTAAATAAATACTCACTCGTGTAGCAAAGGTCGAATTACGGTATTTCCATGTTGATTAGCGTGGTAAAACAAAGTGTAGAGGTAGGGAAGAAGAATATAGCGGACCTGAAGGGCCTTTCTAGATGCTGAAGCAACTGGGCCATCAGGACCTCCAAAATTTGGGTGGGCTGGATCTTGAGGCTTAGAAGTAAGAGTAAAAAAACATCAAATACTGAAAAGATAATTGTAATTTCTAAATGAAATATATTTATTACCGTTTATTCAAATAAATAAAACTGTAAACAATTAACTATTGTATTATATAGACATCTAAAAAATAGTTTTTCTTATCCTTTTTTTGTTGTTGTTTAGTTTAAACGGGTGGAATTTTTTTTCGCCTAGAGCTTTCAAAATTCTACACAAAAAAGCGTGTTTCCACTCACGCATAGACTTAAAAGCACAGAGCTGGTTCTGTAAGGTGGCTAAATTGTTTTTGTCTTAGATGCGCATTGTTCAGGATAATTTCTCCTTTGTGTCACATGCTCTCTCTCTCGTGAAAAAGATTTTAGAAGAATGCATAATTAAATACATTTAGGAGATTTAGGCAGTGATCTTGACCATTGGCGAGTCCTGTGATGCTCGGAGGTAACAACATCTTTTCTTTGGGCTTAGCCAGTAATGACGTGATTAACACATGCGCTCTAATAGAGAGATAGTCGTATTGTGATTTCTATGGAGTGGTTAGCCTATTCGGAGTTCAAATTATTTCATTTGTATTACATCCAGAATTCCACTGGTAAAGAAGTTCTGTCCTTCATTTAGTGACGACACGTCCTGATGAATTGTATTTGTTTTCCTTCATTTAGTGACGATACATCTGGCTGAATTGTGTTTGTTTTTTGTTCAATAAAGGATTGTTTACTTTCCATTGCAAATTTATGTTTAATCTTTTCTCTCACTTTAGTCAGATAGGAAACTCAGTTTTAGCACATAATACATTTCCTGCCGTTCCTCAAGTTATTGCGATTACTCTTCTTATCTCTAAAGTAAATCAGCTAGCCTGTGAACAGAATACCTTATTTAATTGCACGTTTTTACACCGTAACTGTAAATACTATAACTGGCTTGATTACAGAACATAAACTGAAGGAAACTACAAGACAGCTCTCAGTAGTTTCGTTGTGAAAGCGCTACCTGGTGAACAGAACAAAAAATCATAAACAACAAAGCTATAAAAAGAGCTTACATTTGAATGTGTTTAGAAAATGTTCTTTGAGTAAAGAAAAACTAACATACAAACAAAAGTTATTTACTGTAAAATATTAAAATAAATTTGTAAGTTATTCAAGTTGTTGACATTATTAACTCATCAAATAAAACGCAATTCTGTACGTTAATCGTTTATTATTTTAAGTAACATCTAAAGACAGTGAAACACAACGGACTGCAAAGAAAGTCTGCTTTGTTTGACGATAACAGAGGTTTCCTACTTGCGTAGCACGTATCTCAAGCTTCTGCCATTGTGAGGAAAATTTTTCGAGAGAAGTGAAAAGTCCACACCAGTTTCTCATCAGGAACACCAATGCCTTTCATTTCTTAATTATTTATTTCAGTGTTTTAAATATAACCTAACACCTACTTGGTTTCCATTTGCATTGTGATTCCTGGAGAAAGGGTAGAAAGCACCGAGCTGCATCCAACGTTTACAAAGTTCTGTCGTGGTCTCCGAGAAAAACCCGCAGATATCAGCCCCAATCTGGAAACAGAATATTAAACTTAATGTGACGTACAGTAAGAATTACTATTATACGTGGAGTGTTCAGAAAAGAATGGAGTTTTATATTTCCTGTAGTTCAACCAAACAACAAATGTACAACAATGGTTCTGAGGATGTTGGAATCAGACATCACATGTCTACTTAAAATACAATAGACTTCATCCGTCGCTCTGTGGGCCTCATCAGTGTGGTATAAAGGCAAGTTCTGTATTACTTCCAGCAGCTTTGAGAGTATCAGTTGTTTGGAAGTGTTGCCCACCACATCTTCCTTGAAAGGATCAGAGAGATGAAAGTTACAAGGTGCTAGCATATAGAACTAGAGTCTTGCCCAAAATGTTTGCATAGTGTTCTATATTGATGTTATTGTCTACATGCATGGAGTAGTTATTGAGTAAATGCCCGAGTAGTAACAGAGAAGGTAGCTATATCCAGTGTACTATATCCAGAATCCTGAAACGTCATCGGATCACAGGAAACGTTGTTCCAGGAAAGTCTACTGGTAGACGCCGAAAACTACTGCTCGAGATGACTGTGTTTTGATCAGGTTAACTCGTCAAGGTAGAAATAACTCTTGAAACACCTTGCGAAAGGAATTGTATGAACACATTCATCCCAGGGTATCCAGAAGAACAGCGAATAGGAGATTGACCAAACAAAGTAATTTTGCAAGAAGGGCTACCTGCAAACCGATATTAACCAGAATTCACCGCCGTCACCGTGTTACTTGGGCAAGACAACATGCCAACTTACAGTTCGGACACTGGCGACATGTCATCTTTTCAGATGAGTCCTGTTTCCGGTTTGTCAAAGCTCATGGTAGAATTCATGATCGTCGTTTGCTTGAAGAACAGATAAGGGAAGACTGTCTTTCCAACAGGGAACACACAGGAGGTGGTGCAGTACATGTTTGAGCAGTTATTCATCGTGATGGAAAAATTGCTATTCATATCTTCCAGGAAAACGTCAATGACGCCTCATACAGGCATCACATGGAGACGATATTTTTGCCATATGCTAGGACAAGGTTTGGCAATAACTATGTTCCAGGATGACAATGCCACTGTCCACAGTGCGCGTACTGTAAATGATTATCTCGACCAGGAAGACATTACAAGACTGCCATGGCTATAAAACTCTCCAGATTGTAATCCTATTGAGAACTGTTGGGCAGAACTGAGCTGGAACATTTCTAATCACGACCATAAACCATTTACTGTAGCTGAATTGCAGCGCCTTTTCGTGACAAGCTGGGATGAAATAACGATGAATTACAACAATAACCTCATCGACAGCATGCTACGTTGCCTTACATAGGTTACTAGAATACGATGAGGACCAACCAAGTCCTGAATGAACGGATACAATGTTACAGACGCTATGTGTAATAATTTGATGTTATATTTTGTCATTATATATGTTTTCGTAAGGTTTTGTTGTGATAGGTGAAATGCTGAATTACACATCTTTCTGCAGATGTCTGATAAATGTGTTTGTTGTTCTAATAAATCGTTCATGATGTCCATAGAACCTGTCTCATTATACAAGTTACATATGTATAACATATTTGACAGCACTAAGTGTATTTGTATTCCATTTTAATAATAATGATCTTATTTGTCATAAAATATGCAAACATTTTGGCCAAGACTGTATATGAGAGATGAACAAGAACTCGACCGCCATCTGTACTCCTCAAATGTAGTTGTTATACCCGACAAGCAGTAGAAGAATGGTATATGAATGTTGCAGGAGAAAATCTCCAGCTACAATTTACACGTATCCAACGTATTGTTGCGTCAGCGAGGTCACGTGACTAGTATCACGCCACCTGTTTCTAGAAATATCCTGTTCCTTCAAGAATGCCCTAGCATTTACTAGATATCTGTTAGTCTTGTATATATAAGATGTTCACAAAGTGACGGGACAACAGTGCAATGAGTAATTGAATGTGTGCGGATAGAATATTGTTGGCCACGTGAGATGTGAGCATTCGTTATAAAGCGACTGTTGAAATTAAGTGTATCGTAAAGTTGTATTCGGAAAGAATAAACCAGTTTTAGTTAAGAAATGACTTGTGTAGCTAAAGTTTCGTCGGAACGAATTTACGGAAAATTAACTAACGAACGGAGACGTAACAGTATAAATGGAAAATAAAACCCCGTTTCTGACGAACGTCCTTCGCAATCTGTATATATATATTATTAAGTTACTTTCCAGTTAGAGTTACACACGATTAGTACGTTATTATTCATGCTTTCTTTAGTATTAAAGTATAAAAATTATGCCCCCTCCCAGTGGCACAGCGGCATGTCTGCGGACTTACAACACTAGAAACCGGGTTTCGGTACCCGTGTTGAGCAGAGCACAGATAGCCCATTGTGTAGCTCTGTGCTTAATTCCAAACAAACAATAAAAATTGTAAATAAAAAGCTAAAAAGTTTATAAAAACAGTGGAGATTAATTACCATATTATCAAACACTTACATAAATGTTGTAGCGATCGGTCATCAATCATTGTTAGCAGCCAAAACGATTACCTAAGTCTAATTATTAATTACTAGCTTTTAATTATAGTTATGTAATAAGTATTAGGTATTTCTTAATCTATGTTTCGGCTACTAATCTGCTGTCGTCTTCAGGGAATTCCTGGGTATTATTTTTCTGTGTTCTTAAGGATAGGATTCGATCCTGGGTTTTTTCGATGGCAGACTGGAGCGTCATCCGCTATGCTGTTACTTATTAATAATTAAGATTAGATGACCGTATAGGTAACCACGGCAACGATACCATATTACCAGTTTTAAAGAACGATGAGCAAATAAGTTGAATGTTCACATTGATCTGCAACAATATAGATAAGTAGTTATATTTAACTATTTCAGTTTTTACAGGAGAAGATATGAGTTTTTGTAAAATTTTGTTTGTTTGTTTCTGAATTTTGCGCAAAGATACACGAGGGCTATCTGCGCTAGCCATCCATAATTTAGCAGTGTAAGGCTAGAGGGAAGGCAGCTAGTCATCACCACCCACCGCCAACTCTTGGGTTACTCTTTTACCAACGAATAGTGGGATTGACCGTCAAATTATAACGCCCCCACGGCTGAAAGGGCGAGCATGTTTGGTGTGACGGGGATTCGAACCCGCGACCCTCAGATTGCGAGTCGAGTGCCTTAACCACCTGGCCATGCCGGGCCATTTTTTTTGTAAAAAAGGCAAAATATTTAAAAGAAAGTTAGGTTGGTTAGCACGGACACAGTAACGAATAGTTTATTTTAATATCATGTTGTAAAACTAAGAAGAATTTAAGTTTACCACCAAATTTGTAACCTTATACACTTGATTTTGGTTCTTATATATATATAACTGTATTCCAGTAACTTCAATGGGTTTCAATTAAGTCACGTACGGTTGAAAGATTATTTACTGGCTACCTATATACAACATTATATGAAATAAATTTTAAATACTTACGTATGGAATTCCAAAGAGATTAAATTCCAGCATACCTGGGAGAAAGAATGGTAATAAATAAGATTAAGAATTATGAATAATAATGTTGGACTGTATCAGCACGTGTAGTAAACAATCCACTCAGTAATTTATATCATTTGTGAAGGAACTACATGTGATGAAAAAGGTAGAAGTTTTGAAAAAAAAAAAGATTATTTTTGTTCTACATTTAGATGTTTACAGAAAACCAGATAGGCGTATTCGGGGTTCTTAAAGTTCCCCTATGGAGAAGCTTATGTAAAAAGAAAGTATACAGGATGTGTAATTTTCGGCGAAGAAGTGGCAAAAGGTCAAAAACCGTTTCAATGGAAAAAATGTCTTGCTTTGCTAGCACTTTAAAATTTTCGTCCAGGACAACTTGTACTGATTGTTTATTACTATTATGTAGGTCGATAGCGTCGATATTAATATAGAAAGTATATCTTGAACGATGATATTTCTTGAAAGGGACAGATGTTAGATTCCAAAAACAACAAAACGATATCATTATAAAACCGAGCTTGGTTTTATTGGAAAATCAGTTTTCTTTCATGTATTCGATATAAACTTTGTATCTGAAATGTCACTGCGAGCCTTGAACTTTGTTGAAAGATGTGCTGAAGTTAAAATATATTTACAAGGTGAATGTACAGAAAAATATATGTTTAGTTCAAAAAGGTATTCATGACGAGCGGTTATGTAGAAGAGGTTCGATTAGGTAAAAAGTTTTTATATGGAGAGTGTACGTAAAAAGGTGTTTATAGTTTGAAATGTTTTTATGTAAAAAGGTGTTTTTAGTTTGAAATGTTTTTATGTAAAATGGTGTTTTTAGTTTGAAATGTTTTTATGTAAAAAGGTGTTTTTAGTTTGAAATGTTTTTATGTAAAAAGGTGTTTTTAGTTTGAAATGTTTTTGTGTAAAAGGTGTTTTTAGTTTGAAATGTTTTTATGTAAAAAGGTGTGTTTAGTTTAAAACGTTTTATGTGGAAAGTGTACGTAAATAGGTGTGTTTAGTGTAAAAAGATATTTATGTCGAGAGTTTATGCAAAATATATTTTTGTATGGATGGTATACGAATAAAGGTACGTTTAGCCTTAAAAATGTTTTTATGTAGAGAGTGTATGTAAAAAAGACATGCTTAGGTAACAAAATAAGTTTTGTATACAGCAAAAAAAAATGTGTTAAAGTTTAAAGAAATACTTAGAGAGTGTACTGTACTAAAATGAAAAATAAAAATATGTTTTATAGAGGAAATTTGGAATTCATTCTTTATCTACGTACTGCTATGTCTAACTGATTATTTAAAGTTTCTTAAATCGTAGCTTTAAAGTTTCGGATTTGTTCATCATATATACACGAACTATTTCCTTCATTGACTAGAGTAGGTGAATAGGTAAGTACAAAAGACTAAAACAATAATACTTAGAAGGAACCCAGAACTATAAAAATTGAGTCATTATATAAAGTCATTTTGCTGCTTAATTTGAAATATACAGTGTAGCAGCAATAATAACATGGAATTAAACGTGGTATTGGTCACCTTTAAAATATTTAACATTAGGAAGTATAAAGTATGTCAGTATCTATGTAATTGACGAAAACTCCGGCGCCATCTATTGAATGGCACCACAAACAAAAATCCATAAAAAAATTCCCACTTTGGGTATTCAAGATTCAAACAATTAGAAAAATAACTGTGGTATGTGCAACAACCAATTCTTTATAATAGAATACAATTTTAAATAAAAGTACTCTCCTTATAAAAATAACACGACTTTCACTATGACTGTACGTGAGAGTTTGATCATATCTTTATTGATGTAATTTTCAAATATAGTATTGATAAACTGGAGTTCTTAAAAAAATATTATTTTTTTTCAACAAACGGTACCACTTTTAATATATAAAAACATTACAGTTTATATGAGTAAAATGTATGAAAATTTTGAGCTCTGTACATTAAATCATTTTGATGCAATGAGTTGCGTATGACTAAAGAGCACAATCCGAACACCTTTCCTGTACAGTACTTCCCAGAAAAAAAATCCTTTTTTAAGAAAATGTTCACCTTTTTCTTTGGTAGATTGTTTGTTAAGTGAATATGATGAAACTTTGTTGAATAGACAGCAAGTTGCCGTCCATTCAACAAAGTTTCATCATGAATACTCTGCCTTTTTTTTTTTTTAATCAGGTATGAATACTACGATTAGTAATTACTAGCACAAACAGCCGTCCGTAGGGTGGCGTTTCTGCTAGTATCTATAAGAAACAAAACATAGAAATCATTAAATTGTTAAATCATTGTAGCAGCAAGTTTGGAAGATGTAATTTTAGACACAATTATTTTTATTAATATTCTAAAATAGTGAATAGAGTTACGTTTCCATTTCAAAAATAATAATACTATTCACCAAAAAGTAAAAACTTAAATTATATTTTCATGCTTGTGGCTAGTTAGTATTCAACAAACTTGAATATTCAATAATGTAATTATAACTATTTTACCAATAACTGATCGGTAATTGCCTGACAGTAACAGATCGATAACCGACTTACCAATAATAGATCGATGAAGATCAGGCCAGTGACTGTTATTATCCCCCAACCAGTGGCTACCATATCGGCCACTTGAGACATAAGTAGAACGCGATAGCACCAAACTCCTCTCTTGGGTGACTTCACGAGCTATTCTAAAAAATAAATAACAAAGTTCTTTTACAAAATCTGAGACAATGAATTTATCACTTGCACCCTAACAGAGAGAACAAAAAGTATAATCTTATAAACTATTTTCTGCGATACTTCTTAAAACGGAGGTAAAAAGGTCATTCCTTATTTATAGAGATAATTCCTAAATAAAAAAATAGTCACAACTTCATTCAATAATCTATCCACAAATCTCTTTCACTTACTCCAGGGTAGATTCCATCTGACTCCAGCCATACAAACTGTGCACATCATAATGAACATATTCTTCATTTTCGCCTTGGACAGCCACCATGCACAACGTTTTATCAGAGAGCTTTTTGTTAAAAAACTTTCTTCACTGTAAGAAGTGTTAAAGAGGTATCAACGACACGAAATTGAAACTTTACTTAAACCCTATTTTTTATAGATATTGCGATACGATCCAACTTTGATAACTTTCCATGGCTTTTTTTTAAATACAAATGGGATTTTTGTAGAAGTGTTAATTAAAATTAGGTGTAAAAATAACTGTAAAACAAAAATCACGAAAAATAGAAATGTTTATAATTATGATAATAAGTCATTTTTGAAAAGCAACAACAACAATAAAAAGAACTGTCGACAATTCTTTAGGGAAACAAAAGTGTAAAATGTTTCACTTTGTATTCGCGTCACCGAATATCCTAATTCAATTCCTGAGAATATTCACAAAACTCGTAGTTCCAACCACTTGCGTGACTTCGGCTCTGGTTTCTAAATTTAATGACTGGTTATATTAAAAGATCACTCAGAAGACACCTAGTTCCCAACACTTGCATGAACTCAGTTCTAGTTTTTAAACCTAATGACTGGTTAAGAAACTAATAGAGCATTCAGAAGACTTCTAACTTCCAACACTTGCGTGACTTCGGCTCTAGTTTCTAAACCTAATGACTGGTTAAACTAAAAGAGCACTCAGAAGACTTCTAGTTCCCAACACTTGCGTGAACTAGGTTCTAGCTTCTAAACCTAATGACTGGTTAAGAAACTAACAAGCACTCAGAAGACTTCTAACTTCCAACACTTGTGTGACTTCAGCTCTAGTTTCTAGACCTATTGACTGATTAAACTAAAAGAGCACTCAGAAGACTTCTAGCTCCCAACACTTGCGTGAATTCGGTTCTGGTTTCTAAATCTAACAAATAATTAAACTAAAAGAACATTCAGAGAATCTTATAGCTCCAAATACTCACGTGACTTCAGCTCTGGTTGGTTGTTTTTAAGCTTAGGAAAAGTAGTCAGTACATTTTAAGATAAAATGAGTTAGATGAAACTTGTTTATATAAGGACTCAAGCTATGATTGATGATCAAAGCGATGCCAAATGCTCAAAGGCTTTTCTAAAGTTAAACATCTGTCAGGTTTAGAATTACTTTAAAATTGCGTCAGACATAATTACACAACCTTAGACATAGAACCTTTAGAAAACTGTTTTTTTACATTCCTGCATAAGACTTCTTGAATATGAGTTTAAAAAAAATGTTCAACAACGGTTTAAAACTTTACTGTGTGCTACAGCTTTCTGTCAACAGATACTCAGTATTGACAACAGCTCATATATATATATTGATAGTAACCACCAAAACTTACAAGGATTGAAAGGAGGATCGTCCCAACGATTCTCAGGGCACTGAAGACTCCAGCAACCATTTGGAAACTTCCACTGTGGGCAGTAGACATCATGATTCTTTTCGTTGGTGCCAAAGTTTGATGGTTCGTTCATATCCTCGAAAACAAGATGTACTATTAGGTTTTGTTTTAAGTCAATATCTGTAATAGATTTCAGTGGTATGTGTAGAACGAAAAAAATAATGGTATCATAAAAAATTAAATAAAGGCAGGGCGCCGCAGATTCTTGGCAGAGATGTAATACTAATAGTACGCTGTAATGTCCACAAAACTACGTCTTTTAGTATATACGACGTCACTTTCTGTTAGGATGCCAACTATTTTGGTTAGAACTATATTTAATTTTTATTTTCGATTATTTATTTATTTTTGTGTCAAGTTACATGATGATACGTCCGTTCGTCAATGTCTACACATACTTAGATATAAATGGAGAAGGATACTGAAGTTAATTGCACTTTAAAAGAAAGATGCTTGAGATTCCAGACTGCCCTTGAAACTGCTTCCTCTCTCATCCATTATACTCAGTCTGATGGCCATGAATATATACTATTGCTCATTGTAATAAGCAGAACTCTGCGAAATGTGGCGAAGTCAATCTTAGACCACACATCTTGACACTGTACGTGGAGGTCAGTTTTCAAAAGAAACACATTTAAACACAATAAATCCATAAAGGCAAGTTGGAACTACTGTGGTAATTTGACATGTAAGTAGTCAAATGGGATTACTGTGATTCCAGTTTCTTCGGCCATCTTTTTCATCAAAACAATTGTTGATTTTGAGGTGTGGTTGGAAGCTTGTGCCAATTTCAAATCCTTGTTTATTGTCTTGTTAATGATACCAGGAAGTGTGCTTAGCTTCAAAATGACATTTATTTAAGTCAAAGGATTCTATTTTAAGCCAAAACTTTTATTTTATGAAAGAGTAAATTACTCCAGATTGGCTTTGGGTATGGTTCCTATCCTAAACACTCTGCTCTACGAGTTTTCCAACTTCACTGAGTACAATGAAGATTCCCTTCTGTGAAATGTTGTGTCTTTTGGTTCTACGCCCTTTAACAACCTCGCTTTATGAATATTTCTCTTTGGAAAGGTTTTTTATACCCACAATTATAATTACATAGTTGTACCCGTAGAGACAATGCATTCTCATTTTAATTCGCTATTAACTAAATATATTGGTGTTAAACATGTTGCTCGTGCTGCAGTGGCATGCCACTATATTAATGTACACAAATCGTTCAAATGGAGTTCGATTGGAATAAAGTACAGAACTACATGTCGATGAAAAGCTAATTTTTTATGACTTATAAATAATCAATGAGCTAATTATGTTAGCAGTTTGTTGGAATTTCGGAAATATTCCATAGGTTTTTATATTGTATCAACATGTCGAAATAATAGTGATCCAAAACAATAAGAAAAAAAGAGCAGACATTAATTGTCTTAATCAAACTATATTGCCCTCTCGTGTCTAGTAATCAAATCAAATGAGTGGCATTTAAGTGTATCTAGGTTCCACATTGTGTTCTTAAATAGTATAGTATATCTACTTTTATGTTGATACAATCAGATACTTATTACTAATGTTTAATAATAATAATTTTTCACCGTCCTCCTTATTAAAATGTTTGAACTACTGTAATTATCCAAAATGGAAAATCGGACACAATTATTACCTAACACATGTAAAGTGGTCAGAGATTGTTGTATAATACTGGAATTATCCACTATTATTAAAATGCTATCAACTTCTTACAATATATATTCTCTGTTTCTCTAAATTTTCAAAACTTCTAAGATTAAAATTATTTCGTGTTAAAACTCATCTCTAACAAGATAAAATAAATACACATTTACTTTCCAGACTTTATTCAAGTAATTATATCAACTGTATAAAACGATGCTATAGACTTACAATCCACAGACCATCAAATTTCACTTCTTCGTATAACATTCTAATCTCCTCCTTCCACCAGGTTCTTGCCGATTGACGAAAATAGTCTGGAAACACTGCTGGACCATCTGGCCAGACCTAACGAAACAGAACATGTAAAGTGACAAACTGACCTGTTAATGGAAAACACGTGAGGTGATGAAGACAAAGTGACCTGATAATGAATAGTTCGTGAAATTATGAAGACAAACTGACCAAGTAAAGAAGAGCATGTGATGATGACAAACTGATCATGTAAGGAAGAACATGCGAAAGGATGATATAAGCTGGTCATGTTAGGATGAACATGTGGAGCAATGAAGACAATCTGATCATGTAAGGAAGAGGATCTGAAGTGACGAATACAAACTAATCATGTAAAGAAAAAAACGAGAAGTGATGAAGACAAACTGAACACCTAAGGAACAATATCTAAATCCATGAGGATACACTGACAAATTAGCCTGGTAATGAAAATAAAACAAAAAAAACGTAAAATGGTGATAACAAACTTATCTGACAAAATTTATTAAGTGAGATGGAAAAGAGCCACAGATCTTGAAAGAGTGATCACGTAAAGTGATTAAGAACAACTGATCTAATAATGATACTGATAATGGCCTGCCTGGTGTTACTCTAGGTTTAATACAACCCAAAATAATGGTAACTAAAATCTCATTACATTCTGGTTAATAACGATTGTTAATTTAGTGTTTAAAAGTTGCTACAGCCAGGTTGTTTTTAGGGAATGAATTCCTATTAGGACGTAACTAAATTGAACATTACCCAACCATACATCACATCCTTGGTATTGTCAATATTCTCGAAATCAGGATTGTTTCTGTCCTCTGTCTTAATCGTTGCTGGCCACTTGATGTACACATCTTTCTCCAAACCTCTGGAGAACACTGGATAGGTGGTATCATTAGCCACTAAGAATGGATCCTGAAAATAGAACAGCTGCGTTAGTCGAAGTTTTCCAAAACTTCTTGAATCTTAATGTTCAAACATATTGCGTAAATATGTGAAAGTGATTTATATATAAAATCACATGGAATAAAGTCTTTACCTCTGAAGACGAAACAAGTGTTGCTCATTTTCAGAATTTACTGTTTTTGAAACACAATAGTTTATCCTTAATCATTGGATTTTACAGATACGAAATAGTTTGGAAACGTCTGAACCGTCTGACCAGACCTAACAAAACATATAAGGAAGAATATATGAAGTGATGATAACAAACTAACCATTTAAAAAAGATCATGTGAAGTGATGAATACAGACTGATTATGTAAGGAAGAATATGTGAAGTGATGATGACACACTGACTAGGTAAGGACGAAAATGTGAAGTGATGATAACAAACTAACCATTTAAGGAAGAACATGTGAAGTGATTACGACAAATTGACCATTTAAAGAAGAATATGGGAAGTAATGATGACAAACTGATTATATAAGGAAGAACATGTGAAATTATGAAGACAAGTTGACCATGAAAGGAAGAGCATGATTCTGTTTGTTTTGTTGTTTTTAATATTAAGATTAATTGATCGACATTCATTTATACGTGTGGTCCTTTTTTGCTGTGATTCATGATTTTTCACTGACTTATGCAATATAATATAAATATTATTGGGAAATGGCTCACTTCTATAAATACATTTGTCTCTATTGATTTTACATGTAAATCCTGTGTCGTGTTGCTTAGCAAGGTTTCTTAATGTCAATAGCTGCAGTGGCTAACTAGTTGGAGTCAAGATTTTACATGTAAATCCTGTGTCGTGTTGCTTAGTAAGGTTTCTTAATGTCAATAGCTGCAGTGGCTAACTAGTTGGAGTCAACATTATAGGAAAAAACGGGCTTAGATTTTAAAAAAATGAAATACTATTGGATACAGTATTGATTATATGATTGATCAAGGTCTCCCAACTCGTCAAATCATGTATAAATCTACCATGGGTGATACGCCAAAGAAATGAAAGAACATTGGGTGTGCAACGGTGGAATATTGACACGGTTACCCAAAATTAATTTACTTTAAGTCTGTGTAAACAATAGAATATAACTACAGTCTTGGTCAAAATGTTTGCATATTTTTTAACAAATAAGATGATTAATACTAAAATGAAATACAAATACACTTAGCGCTGTCAAACTGAGAAATACATGTTATATCAAACATCTATATATGTAATTTATATAAAGACAGGTTCTTTGGACATCGTGAACGACTTATTAAAAGAGAAGAGAGTTTTATCAGGTACCTGTAGAAAGATGTGTAATTCAGAATTTCACCAATCACAACAGAATCTTACAAAACATATATACGGGCAAAATATAACACCATATTATTGAAAAAAATCGTCTGTAACCTTATATCACTTCATATTAAATATTCAGTATATGGTTGGTTGGTCTTCCTCGTACTTTAATGATCTCCGCAAGGTGACGTGGCATGCTGTCGATGAGGTTGTTGATGTAATCCACCGTGATTTCATTCCAACTTATCACTAGAAGGCGTTGCAACTAAGCTACAATAGCTGGTTTAAGGGTCGTGTTTAGCATTTTTCCAGCTCAGGTCTACCCAACAGTTCTCATTGTGATTATAATCTGGAGACTTTGTTGGCCATACAATCTTGTAACCCCCTCCTCTACAATACGCACACCGTGGGTAGTAACGTTGTCATCCTGGAACACAAAGTTATTGTCAAACCTTGTCCCAGCATATGGCAGAAATATCATCTCCATGTGATGCCTGTAGGAGGCGTCATTGACGTTTCCCTGGAAGATATGAAGAGCAATTTTTCCACCATGATGAATAACTGCCCAACATGTACTGCACCACCTCCTGTGTGTTCCCTGTGGGAAAGACAGTCTTCCCTCATCTGTTCTTCAGGCAAACAACGATCACGAATTCTACTCTCAACTTTAACAAGAGAAAAACAGGACTCATCTGAAAAGATGGCATGTCACCAGTATTCTAACTGTAAGTTGCCATGCTGTCTTGCTCAAGTAACATCGGTTAACAGATAACCCTTTTTGCAAAATAACCTTCTTTGGTCAATCTCCTATTCGATGTTCTTCTGGATACCCTGGAATGAAGTGTTCATACTATTCCTGTCGTAAGGTGTTGCAAGACTTATTTCGACCTTGATGTGTTAACCTCATCAAAACACAGTCATCTCGAACAGTAGTTTTCGGCGTCTACCAGTAAACTTTCCTGGAACAACGTTTCTTTTGGTCTGATGACGTTTCAGGATTTTAGATACAGTACACTGGGGGTGCCCTATTGTTCTGACAATGTCCATTTGATTCATAACATTTCTGGGCAGTCTAATAATTTTACACCCTATAACTTCTGGCACGTGACGAGGCATGATTCTATACCAAGTACAGGGAAATTGTCTGAACAAAGCGTTGATCTGTTTCTGAAAAGATTATACCAAAACCACACTCTTTTATACAAAACAGTTGTGTATGCGTGTTTTGACGAACAGATGCTCGAAATAACTTATACAGACCAGAATAACAACTCGTATATGTTTGTCTGATCATATACTACCTTCTCTGTTACTACTCGAACATTTACTGAAATACTACTGTATACATGTATACAATAACATCAATATAAAACAATATGCAAACATTTTGCTAAGTGTGTACATATCTAACATTAAATCAGTCATCGAAACCTTCAATTATAGATGAAGATTACATGCTAAGTTATTCGTTGTGCACAAGAAACTCAATGCTATACTACCGGATTTCAAAGGCGGACTGCAGCACATAAGCATCTATGAATGTCGACTCTTACAGTACCTTGAACCATAAAAACCAATTATGTAGGATTCCAACACCCATTGTTTACTTCGAATGGACGGGTTTTTGTTTGATGGCACTTTGGAAATTTTTTTGCCCAACTATTGCAAGGAAAGGCCACACTTTTTTTTTCAGTATGACAATGAACCACTCTACATTGCAGCCCGTGCCCAGAATCTGCACTGGCCAGCACAGCATGCTTAGTTTAACAAATTTAACTGGTGTCTAATCAACAAATGTGCATTAACAGGGAGAGTCAAGTGTTAGTAACAGAATGCGAGTTATAATTAACATTAAATATAGGATTACTTTTTATGAATATGGAACCCCAGGAACTTAACACGACCCCCTCCTCTTCATTGGACATGCTGTCCAAGCACATCTGGCATTATAGTGTATAATTTCTGCAGAATAATATAGTAGCATTGGTTCTTACTAATTTGATAAGAGAGATGTTCATAAAATACAACACAAAACCTTATAATTGCCAATGACTTACGTATTGACCACTAATATATCAATGAAAATTTAACCTGGCTTAGAAAATGTTTTGTGACGTCATAATATCACGGTAATGCACCATATTTAAGGTATAACTTGAATGTAGAAATATTGCACTCGTGTACTAAAACCATTCTGGTGCTGTAGTGGGAATAACCAACAACAGAAGGATGTTTGTGGTTGGAAAGATCGTAAATTACTGTCCTACAACGGTTTTTTTCAATAGTTTGCAAATTATTGTAATTATCGTTAATCGTAGATTTAAATAGTAGGAATAAAAAAATTATAACAGTTGGAAACGCCCACCACACTTTACAGTTATAAAACTCACGAACTTAATCAAAACTTACCAGTATGATGATCCATCTCAGTCCGTCTTTCTTTGTCTCTTTGATGTACTCTGGGAACCCTTCCCAGTTGACCTTGTCCCAAGTGAAGATTTTCCGATCCTCCATGTAGTCAATATCAGCATGCTGTACATCCTGTTCGAAAAAAAATTAACAGTTTAGTAAAAACTTATAGTCATTAATCTGGTAACATTAACTCGAAATATTTTCACCCGGTTCCAAAATTCTTTTATTGAATGAATATATGAGTATCGTTTTGTTGTATTTTGGTTAGAGTATAAAATAATATATTTTGCTAATGAATATGATAATTTCTCGTGTGAAAATTATTAAAGCAATTATAAAGTTTTTTTTTAATAGGAGAAAAGTAGCGAAGATGTTGACGAATAGTTGATAAAGTGTATAAATCATACAAACACTGAAATTATTTCCTTGAGCTTAAGTTATAATCTCTGAAATATTTCACCATTCCTATGTTCAACTATCACTTAAAGCTTACCATGAAGTAAAAGGTTTCATATTTCATGGACTTTTGATACAATTTTGTAACTTGAGAAACAATGAATTAAAAATCTAACCAAGTTACGTACGTCATTTCAACGTTCACAGTGTTATTATACGTAGCTAAAATACTGGCGTAACTTATCTTTATAGTGTCTTAAGCCTGAAATAACAGCTTATAAAGATATGATTATTAAAAAGAACATCGTCCCCCAGAAGCACAGAGGAAATTTTGCGAACTTATAACACTAGAAACCGAGTTTCGATACCCGTGTTGGGTACAGCACAGATAGCCCATTGTGTGGCTTTGTGCTTAACTACAAACAAAAAAGAAAAAAGAGTATCAGAGTAAAAGTAAAAAAAAAAAGAGTGTATATTAAAGACCTCCGATGGCTTATCCGTAAGTCAGAGGGCTTATAATGCACAACACAGATAGACCATTGTGTAGCTTTGCGCTTAACAACTAACAGAAATAATCCAACACAGACGAGATCTTTCACCCTTTGCCAGGACTCTTCTTGCTGGCTGAGATACAACAACTATAGAAGTGGTTGAAACGCTATTTGTTTAGCAAATCTCTTGAAAACAACTGTTACAATGTGAAGACGTGTTACTCACCAAAGGAATTTCTGCATCTACTGTTCTCTTCACGGCACTCTTTAAATTTTCTAAGCTGTTGTAGCCCCATCTACTTAACTGGAATCCCAAGGACCAATAGGGAGGCATAACAGGGCGACCTACAAGCTGTAAAATATTCTTAAGTTATTGATTATATTTTCAAATCATTGATTCGATTAAAGTATATTTTTGTAGCCTAAGCCTAAATTATAAAATCGTGTGTGAACAATGCTAGTTCGAGACACTCGCAATAGTCATTATTTCGATTAATTGACCAAATTCTAGTAATTGTGGTATTTTTATTGTATTCTTATTTGCTACGTTCAAAAATATTAATTTTTAATTGCTTTATTATTTCCAAAAGAAAAAAAAATACAGGCGGCAGATTATACTGTACTCTCTCCCCATTTAGCAATATTATATTTCATTTGTGAATAAAATTGGTAGACAAAGAGTAAAATATGCAAATGCAATAAATTCGTATTTACTAATATTACACAGTTAAAGACTTGTTCCGTCTTTTACGATTGACTGGATTAGTGAACAACACCTAACCTAAGACGTTATATTTTGATTTTTTAATCTTACTATTTGATGTGCTAGATTCGTCATCTACTATTATTTCTATTCATTATTTTCATATGTATTACTACAATTATTTTCAGTGTTCTGTGAGTATATCTGTATGAGTTGATCATATTTCTATGATAAGCTACTTCCAAAAGTTTTATCTTATTTCTTACTATAGACAGCACAAATAGCCTATTGGTTAACACACCATGCTGCGGATAGAAAAGTCCAAGGTTCAAGCCAGGACATGCTTCAGTTGTGGGAGCATTATAACTATTCGATAACGAGTATCCGCGGCGGGTGTTGCTGAGTGATTGCACTCCCTCTGGTCAGTAGCTCTAAATTAAGGATGGCTATACCTAAGCCATAGGGGTCTCTGACTTAGACATTTAACTCGTATTTTGCATTTGGAGTCGTTCAGGTTGAAAATACTGAATAATGTTTCTTCTGTGTTTGAGAAAATGATGAATTTTATATATACGATACCATAAGGAGTTACAAGCTATATATTCCAATTAATTGCTTTTCATTAATTTTCCATGTCAGCAAATTAATCTTACCAATAGTTCATTCGCACGTTGGTAAATGTATTTGGCTATTGTAAGTAAAATTCTGCTGTGCTCCATTCGGTAAAAGAGGTTAATAAAATGTCAGGAGACGATTATTCATATACCTCACCAAAAAGATCACACTATAAGAGCCCCCCCCCCCCCCAGTGGTACAGCGGTATGTCTGCAGACTTACAACGCTAGAATACGGGTTTTGATACCCTTGGTGGACAGAGCACAGATTGTGTAGCTTTATGCTTAATTACAAACAAACAAACACTATAAGAGATCTACCTCTGTGTACAGTTGAACAACATGTTCCGGTCCCTTGCCGATAAAAACAAAAAAATCCAACACGCCACCTGTTGTTTTGAAGGAGATGGCAGGAGCAGGAAGCAGTGTATATTCTGAAAACCAGGTGAAAGAATAGTTTACAAAAGCAAATCAATAAATTAATTCTTGGCTCATCCATCAAGCTATATATGTTATGTTCTTTGTCTTTATCTAATTTTCCTTAACTTTTCTTATCTATCTTCCCTTTCTCTAGCTTATCCCTCTTCCCTTCCCCCAAGCTTACCTACCTTTCCATCTCTGCTTTTAAGAATTTTCATCAACTTACATTTTACTTATTATTCCCATCAACCATCTACCCACCTCTAGAAGAATGAATCATTAACCCTTTCATCCAGGCTGTAGGTAAGTTACCAAAGTATAATGAAAGAAAAGATTGCAAAATGCAAAATAAAATATGTAGATCTGTTAGTATTGATCACAAAGTTCCAAACAATTCATGGTCAGAGTTTCTACTTCTCACCTTTGCACACTTATTTTCTGTGGTTATTATATTGTTAGGAACTGACTTGGAAACTTGACGAAACAAAATAAATAATACTGTCGGGACTTTTGAGTATGGACCACGAAATTCCAAAGTAAATCTCCTGAGAATTTCTACTTCCAATCTTTTCCCACTTATTTCCTATGTTTATTTTACTGTTAGAGGCAGAAACAGAAACATTTCGAAAACAAAGCATTGAGTCGCCACTGTAGGCATTAGACTTTTTCCGGCTTCGAAAACATAGTTGGGTACGGCTTATCGGCTTGTTTGTAGTACAGTAATTGTAACAAGCATTGTATAAAGTACTATATAAAAGTGAGAAAATTATTTACGGTATGGCTGTATACAAAGTCTGGTCCAATTCAATAAACTTGTTAAGAATATGAATGTTAGTTACGTCCCGGGATTTAGCGGTGTAGGTGTAAAAATGTATAAGAGCTTATGAACATCCTGTTTCCTGTTTAACCATACTTACACAGTAACCGATAAATGCTTAGTTTCCTGTAATATAAATACGGCCCGTTTTGGTTTAGCCAATAATTCTAACTTAGCCTTCTTGAGCACTTTAGAAGCCTTACAGAAAAGGGATATCACTATAGTTTATGCAGTCAAATTAATTCGTTGCAGCATACGGTTTTTAGAAGCAATGAAGGAACATAAAGATAAAAAGGCCTTAGAAGCAAAGAAAGCCATTAAGGAAATGAATTTTCATTAATAACACTGACAGAGACAACAGGATTGTTTCAATCAATCATGGTCAATTTTTAATCAGTATTATAAACAATATGAGACAACAATTATTCACACCAACTTCTTCTCATCAACCAACTGGGTCAGAGCCAGGAACTTCATTCCAAACATAATTTCTGAGCTCCGTATCTTAAAAGTCAATGAGTGGCCAGCATAGATAAATGCAGGCTTTGGAGAAAGGGAAATAGAGTCCCTTTGTAAACGTTTCATATTGCCATTTTCAAAAACAGCCACAGCATACAGAGACTTTCTAGACAACCGTGGGTGTCATATTCCATCAAATTTGAATACTTTAATCGAGTGTTCAAATGTCATCCCATGCAGTTCTTCCGAAAGCGAACGAGGATTTAGAAGTATGAACCTTATCACTATGGAAACGAGTTCTTGGCGGTGACAAATCCCATGCTCATTAGCTTCACGGCCTTATGATTCAAAACTGGAAACCAGACGACTATATATATATACAAATGGCTAAGGTGTCATCGTTCACCAACTGATATATGAACAAGAGTAGCCAAGTCCAAAAAACTCACTACAGACCAAGTTTGGAAGTTATGTTAATACGTTATGCAGGAATTCAAAAGTTCAAGGTTAATATTTTATTGTAACATTTTCAAATCTAGATTTCAATTACAATTACAATTTACTGCTACTAATTCTGAAATATGTGTTTTTATGTATTGGTGACGTAATAAATACTAATCATAGTAACACTATCAAAACGCGTTCCCTCACTTCTATATTTAGCACTATACCACTGCTTATAACTCATCTTTTATTTTCCTTTTCATATCCTTACCCATCTTTCATTGTTTCTCTGTTCTTACGTCCATTCTTTTCACGACTCAAGCTATTGAATTTTTCCTTCCTTAATTTTTTTCCGTTTTCTTTTCTGCTCTCAACGACTTTTTCTTCTATCATGTCAGATATATTTCCTTCACCTATCTTCTTTGTCTTCTCCTTATGTAAATACATATCCTCCCCCCTCGTCACTCGATCATCCTTTTCTCTCCCATATTTCCCATCATTTTCTGAAAATACCCCCTACCACACTACATACCATATGACGTTTGAGTCTTAACCAGCAAACTTTAAACAATTTATGTTTTGGAATAACTTAAAAAAAAAGGTTCACATCGATTTCACTATGTTACAAGTTTAGAAGTATCTTATTTTATTGATAATTTTACTTTATAAGCCTCATGAAAGCGATAACACTACATGATGTTTTCCAATTATATTTTACTGTATAGTATTTCACACTATATTACATGCATAGTATAATGTAATAAAATACATAGTATAGCACATTGAAGTATAAGGTAGAGCAGTGTGTTTTATAATAATCAGTACTTTAAATGTTAAAATGTTTGAATTATTACTCTAAATTCGAATATATCAATGCTCACCCATTGCATTGCTGTTTAGAAACAGTACTCCATGAGCTTTCCCATCCTTTTCTAAGCAAGTATAAAATGGATAAACGCCATAAAGATTTTTTCTACCCTGCAAGAATAAAATATCTAAGAAAATGAAATAAATATTTTGCCCTGGTGATCAGGTTTTCTTATTAGAAAGATTTTATCGAAGCTATTAGTTTTGGGGGATAGATACACTTCTAACTTAGTAATAGCAACCACTAGTTGCAAAAGTTATGTTCTTTTTCAACTATGAATTGGAGCCTCACAACGTCGTTACAGCCCATGTCACTACTTCCGGTCATACTTTATCTGACGGTCATACATCTTGCCAACAGCCCTGCATCGTAGTTTCCATTAGAAAATGCTCCGTCGTAATGATGTAATGTCTAAAGCACAACAGTGCTTTTTGCATGTTCTCCATTAACACATCTCTTGTATGACGACGACGGTTTCCTAGCATCCTTTTCAACAGTCTGATCACACAGAAATCAATAGGCGCTGCATCTGGCGACTTAATTGGTATGTCTTCTTATGAAACAACAGAAATATCCGTTTCAACCTTCAATTCCTTGAGGTATGCAATGGTTGAACTGATATGTCATAGATTCAACATGTAACTTGTTTCGCTTTTATAGACAATGATCTTTTATGATTATGTTACGTACTGTTTGTTACCTGGAGCACGGGGTGGGAGATCTGTTGCCATTAGCCCTTACGTTCGTAGATTCTCATCTTTTACACAACGCCGAACTTTGCTTACCACGGCTTGGGTACGACTTGTTGCAGGTCTCTTTATTTGTGGTCTTGGCTCCCAAGTTGATCTATATTCCTTTGTTTGCCAATGCCATGAAGTGCAAATGATATTCCCGTCTGAATGTGTATGAATATTTTGTTTCGGAAAGGGCTGTTGCATACCTTTCCTAAAACGATCAATTTTCGGTGACATCATACTACCTATAAAACACCAAATAGTATTAAAATATAGTTCTGTTATCTTCTACTTCACTACGACTTAATATCGGCTGGGGTTATCACCTGACTTGCTGCTTTACACATTCAAAATAATTTTAATATAACCTACTCCACTTTCCGTAGTTTATTTTTATGAATGCAACTTATTGACAGCCTTTGGAGGAATTTGTATATTTCTGTAGAAGTTTGCTTTAGAAACTAAGCTCTAAGTTTTGATAACTCTTCAAGCTATTGGTTTATAATTAGTTATATTTTTAAGAGGCATTTTGTAAGGATTAGCTATCTCTTGGTAAAAAAAATTACTATCTAAAAACCAACCAGAGCAAGGGTTGTGCAACATTTACTAATTAATGTCATGGTACTGTGATAATACTAAGCAACACATGGGTACTGTGATAAGTACCATCAATCTTTGTGTGGAGGGTTTACTAAGTAATGCCTAAGTAATATGAGCTGTATGTGGAGGGATTACTAAGAAACGCCTGGATGCTGTTATAAGTACCATCAAGTTTATATAGAGGGTTTATAAAATAATGTCTGGATGCTGTTATAAGTACCATCAAGTTTATATGGAGGGTTTATAAAATAATGTCTGGATGCTGTTATAAGTACCATCAAGTTTATATGGATGGTTTATAAATTAGTGCCTAGATATTGTACGCTTTACGTGGAAGGCTCACTAAGTAATATCTGGATACTGTGATCTTTATGTGGAAAGTTTACTAAGTAATGTCTGGATATTGTGATCTTTATGTGGAATGTTTATAAAATAATGCCTGGATGCTGATATAAGTACCATCAAGTTTATATGGAGGGTTTATAAAATAGTGCCTAGATATTGTACGCTTTACGTGGAAGGCTCACTAAGTAATGTCTGGATACTGTGATCTTTATGTGGAAAGTTTACTAAGTAATGTCTGGATATTGTGATCTTTATGTGGAAAGTTTACTAAGTAATGTTTGGATACTGTGAGCTTTATGTTGAAGGTTTACTAAGTAATGTTTGGATACTGTGATCTTTATGTTGAAGGTTTACTAAGTAATGTTTGGATACTGTGATATTTATGTAGAAGGTTTACTAAGTAATGTTTGGATACTGTGATCTTTATGTTGAAGGTTTACTAAGTAATGTTTGGATACTGTGATATTTATGTAGAAGGTTTACTAAGTAATGTTTGGATACTGTGATCTTTATGTTGAAGGTTTACTAAGTAATGTTTGGATACTGTGAGCTTCGTGTGGAAGGTTTACTAAGTAATGTTTGGATACTGTGGATACTGGATAGAAGGTTTACACAGGACTAACTAGGATTGAGTAGAAGGTTTACACAGAACCATGTAGGACTGGGTAGAATGTTTACACAAGCCAACTAAGATTGGATAGAAGGTTTACACAGGACAACTAGAATTGGATAGAAGGTTTACACATGACCATTTGGGATTGGGGAGAAGGTTTACAGCACCGGCTTAGAATGAATTTATATTAATATGAAGGATTTACTTGAAATCCCTCAAATTTGTAAAGAAAATTTTTAAAAAGCCAGTTTTGGATTGACTTTATGAAAGATTAAACAATCTGGAAAACTTCCAATGGTAAGTAAGAATTAAACACATGTTCATGTGGAGGATTTCTTTAACAACCGACCTGATGTGTAAGAAAAACGTTTATTTAGAACAGATCCGGAATTTTATAACATTTTTAAAACAACTAGACTGGATTCTGTGGAAGGCTTACTGATAACCACCTTTATTTACATTAAATGCTTAATAACAATCAGCTTTCATTGCGTGGAAGCTCTATTTATATGAGAGGCTTTGTAGAATCAGTTTGGGATATATGAATGAATTAGCAAAACCCAACCATGTTATATGAAATATTTACCAGAAGTAAAAACATTTTTCTAAAAATGTTTACTAAAGGTCAGTTATATTTAAATGGACAGTTTATTGAACATCAAAGGTCTACCTTTCGAAAACGCTCGGGTTATAGGTTTTTTATTCATTTCTATCAAGAATTCTTGAAGCTACGTATTTTTCTAACACCATGAAAGATGTTGTTAAATATTATTTACAATAATAATGCCCCAAAAGAAGTAATAGGTGTAAATATATCTGTAAAATGAATGCTTTGTGACCAGAAACTGCAAGCAAAGAGAGCATATGAATCACTCCAGCATCGTGAGTGACGTCATGTGTAAAAACGGCTGTATACAGTATTTCACAATCAGGACTTACCGGCCAGTCGTTAGGGAACTCATCTCGAGTAAAGAGAGGCCAGGTTCGGTAGTTGAGATCGTGTTTGAAGGTTGCGTGGTTATTCTCTCCCAAACCATACACGTTCTCAGCTGGAAGGTAAGAGGCAATCTGTAGAAACTGGTCTTCGAAAGCTAATCCGCCAATACTGGTGTCCCATCTGTGTGCAGAATACAAGATTTATTACGACAGGTGTTCAACGTGCCCAAACGTCTCTACTGTTTTTTCCTTCCCACGGAATGCCTAAATGTAGTGTTATAAAATAAAGTTTATCTCTTTAACCTCCTATGTTTTTTGTCTCTCTTCTTTCTATAATTGTTTTACTTATTTAATTATTGGAGAATTATTTCTTCGTTGATAATTCTTAAGCGTAGAGCTGTTCAACGGCTGTATTCTATCTGTGATTTGGTTACCCTAGGGATCGAGCCCTTATTACCGTTATAAGTCGTCACGTGAGCCATCGAAGAAAAAATGGAGAAACAAATACACATATACTTATTTATTGAATATAATACTGAAGTTAAAGAGCGAAATAACACGACAAAGAAATTCAAGGCTCAGTTTATTCTTAGATTCGTCACTTATCACGGAGATAGGCAGGTTTCAGAGAATTCTATCCTTATCAAACCTCTTGTAGTTGTGATCTATAATTCTAATCTATGAGTATTGCGTTTCTCGATTGTAAACCAGGCACAATACACATGAACACGACAGAAGTTGAAAGAAAAAAAATAACTTCAAGTTTCTTTCTTGTAAGCTGCTATAACAGTGCGTACGCATTGAAGCTTCATCAATGTGAAGTTCAATGAGCTTTGAATTAATAGTAGAGATTATATTCGATCTCATAAATAGGTATCACTAGTTTAGTTTGTTTTAATAAGTCTAAATGTTTTAGATAAAACGTATTTCAAACAAATTTTAAAGTTAGAGTAAGCATCACTCTTTCTTCATCTTCCTAATTCTTATTCTTAATTGCAGTCTTATTTTCCTACCAAACCTTACAATAAGGGATTGTATTATATGTATATCCTGATCTAGAAACCAGTTTTCTTGGATAAAACTACAAAATTATTATCATTTTTCTAAATTTATGTAGTCTTTCACTCACGTTAACTTTTATTTCAACCTGAGATCTATCTATTAGTTTCAGCCTAAACACAATTATAATTGCTGTTATTCTAGTCCCCATATCTGATCTACAGGAGGATGGAGTCAGACCTGTTTTAAGGATGCTTAGCTCCCTCTGTTTATATATTTAGACTAAAAAATTATTATTTTTTAATACTGTTGAACATTATTATTCCCCATGGTTAAAATGTTACAGCTGTTAACACTTTCTAAATCGAATCTTCCGTAATTCTCAATTCAAAGGTTGTTGATTTTGGCTCTCTGACCGAAATGGTCGTTAGCTTTTAGAAGCTCAACCACAATATTGAAATAGAATAAACAATTTAGTTTTTTTAATCGATTAATACCTGTGTACGACTCTAAATGACACTTACAAGCACCAAACTGGTGAATCCGAATTGTTCTTGTGGTAATACCTTTATATATATATATATCCTGGTCTAAAGATCGAACCTGTAACCTCTTGCACTATAAGTGAGTTTTCTACTAACTGTGCTGAAAGGTTAACTAAGTAGCACTAAGGCACTTTTATAACAGCTCAAACTACTACTACAGTTCTTCCGCGTAAGGAAATAGTTTGTAAGAACTATATTAACTGGAAACGAACTAGTTTTTCCTAAGAACTTACACATTTATAGCATTTTCTTTCCTCTTGATTTTGAAACTAAACAAAGATCCTGGTTCCTCCGTGTCCAGAACGACTTCATACTTTAAAGCGTTTAAGTCAAGTTCTGGCATTTTATTTAACAAGTCAAACTTTTTTTGAACTGGAACTTCATAACGATTATTGGCTGGGTCTGTGAACTAAAATAATAAAATATTGAGTTATTAGCTAAATTTAAATTTAAAGTTCAGAAACAGAAATTAGGATTTGACTAGATCTAGAGCATAAGTGTAAAAAAAAAAAATTACAGGCAATATTCGAAATCCTAGTTCATCACTATTTCCAAAAGTCACACCAGATAACACAGGCCCGCGATGGTTTTATTGTCTTGAAATTTGTACATGTTCTACAGTAATTCCTGCATGCTGAATCCGAAAATGATATCAATTTTCTCCATCACGTACATATATTTCACAAAACGTCATATTTACTTTTACATAAGAAAATCATTTTCATTGAAATCGGGTCACATTTTGTT